GGGGGGGGGGGGGTCAGGACCTGGTAAGGGTGCTCACCCTCAGGCTAGAGTCCCAGCTCTGCTAGACAGTGAGTCTTGGTCAGACCCGCCTCCCCTTAGAACTGAGCCACCACCCTCAGATCAGTCTCTTCCCCTCCTTGTTTTTCCCTCCCCCTCTGGCCAGAGCCCTCATAGTTTTCTGCCCATCTTCCCATCCTGCTACCCAATCTTCTTCTTCCATCTGATTCAGCCTCTGCCTTCAGACTGCATCATTTCCACCTTGCTGCCCTTTCCCAGACACATGCCTCTTCAGGTGTCTATCCCTATACCTCCCTTTCTATCGATCTTGAGCTTCCCCACTTAGACTTGAGCCTCTTTCCACCCAGACTTCCCAGCCAGTCTCCAATCTCTGACCAGATCCCCACTCAGAGGACAGACTTTCCTCCATCTTCAAGCAAGCCTCTCCTATCTGACCTGTCTCCTTGCCCCAGGTTCTTGCTTCTGACAGGAAGTGCCTCCTTCCCCCACCCCCCCAACTTGAGCACCCATCCCTCTCCCTCTGCCTAGATAACATTTCCTCTGATCTGACATCCCTGCCTTCATCCTCATGATAGATCTTGCCTTTTTACTTGGCAGGACCACACCACCTCATTCACTGGTTCATAGCCTCTGCCACCTCTCAAATAACCCTCCACCTTCAGACTAGGAGCTTTTCCTTCTCTCCTGCCTCTGACTGGATTCGAACCACTAACTAAAAGCCTCCTCCTTCTGACTTTAATCCTTCCTTCTGTGACCCTAGCCTCCACTCTCATACCAGACAGCCCACCTCCTCATAGCCACCCCAACCCCCACGTCCGCTCTTTGGAACCCTGCTGAGATGGCCCTGAGGTCTTGCAAGCCAGGGGACATCCCTCTGATTCAGCCGCCTCCTGTGAAAGGTCCTGCTGGCCAGCGGCTGTTTGTTCCGTCTGCCCCTGGCCTAATGGCTCCAACAGGCATAGGGCGGCGGCCAGGATGGGCGAGGCCTTTGCCAAGTGAGCTCACGTCTGCCCGGGTAACTGGGCCAGGATGGGCATCGGGCACATTGGGCTGAGTGTGGTGGGGAGGGAATGCAGGGTCACCTGGGCAACAACCTCAGTGTTCCTCATCTGAGGGATGGACATGGCCCTCTGCCATACCCAGAGTGCACAATCCATCCACACTGGGGAAACTGAGGCTCAGAGTGGGCAAACTGGGGTAACAGAAGCTAGAGGTCTCCTAGGCCCTGATGTGCCCCCCTCCACCTGGCATGCCTGAGGGAATGTCCAGGCTCACGAGGGGGATGGACAGCAGCTTGAGTGTGGCCAGCGCACGCGTGCAGGGGCCCCCGACCTCACCAGGCTCCACGCCAGGGCCCAGCACGGCATCCACCACCAGCCCATAGGCGTCATTGATGAGCTGGACCTGGGAGGGCAGGTAAAGTAAGGGGCAGCCTTGGGGCATCATCCCCCACCTGCCCCTCAGTTGTCGAGGAGCGCTGACCTCTGTGGGCAGATAGGACAGGAAGGGGATGTCCATCTTCTCACACTGGGTGGTCAGGTCCCGGTGCAGCGGGTCCAGTGAGCGTGTGGGGTAGAATATGGTCGGTTCATACTCCTGGGGGGGTAGGAAAGGATCAGTATGGAGGCTGCCCATGCTCTTTCCAGGCTCTGCCAAGCCCCAGACCTGGTACCAGGCAGCAGACCCTGCCTGGGGCAAGCACTGAGCATATTCTGTTACTCGTCCAGCCTTAATGTTCCCCTTGAACACTACCAAGAGGAGGAAGTGACTTTTGCAGGGACAGGGTGGGGGATGATTCTAGGAGACCAAGGGAGTCCTTGCTACTCACAAACACCCGCAGGTGCCGGGCACAGACCAGCCCTACCGCCCCATTCTGCTCCGGGCCGCACACGACCAGCACCGTCCTCTGCTTCCGGGAAAGAGCAGGCAAGGGGAACACCTGGCAGGGGGCACAGCAAAGACAAAGGCTTGGAATTCCTCCTTGCTCAGGTGGGGGAACTGAGGCTCCAGGTACAAGGGCTCCAGCCTACCCTGATTCTGCATCGTCTCAGCCCCCTCTCCTCTCCCAGCCTCAGTTTGCCTCTGTTAAATAGAAGTGACAATGGCTCTGACAGGCCCATGGGTCCTCTCCCTGACAAAGCTTGGGCTTGGAGGCAATAGGATAGGACAAAAGGAGGTATGTTCTGGGTGAGGGGTGGGGCCTCTTGGGGCCTCAGTTTCCTCCTTGGAGATGCAGAGTCCTTGCCTCAGGATCTGCCAAGCCAGAACAGGAAAAGCATGCCTCTGGCCACCATCAAGAGCCCAAGAGCCTGGACTGCGGTTTGTTTATTCTCCGCCTGAGTTGCAGACATTTTTCCACCTTTTTCCACTGCAGTGGCTGCCCCTCCCAGAGGCCCCAAAGTTGGTGGGGAGGTAGTTTTCCAACCTGCCATGCCCTATCTCTCTTCCCATCCCTTTCTATGGGCCTCTGTCTTCATATGGGCCTTGTCTCTGTATCTCTCAGGCTCTCTGTGTCTTCCCCTATCTGTCTCTCTTCATCTAGTCTCTGTCTTTTTCTCTTTGTCTCAGTTTCTGTTTCTCAGACTCTGTCTCTGTGGGCCTGTGCATCTCTTTCTCTTTGATATAGCAGTTAAGCATGCTGGTGTTAGAGTCCCAGCCTACCTTGACTCTGCATCGTCTTGGCCCCCTCTCCTCTCCCAGCCTCAGTTTGCCTCTATTAAATAGAAGTGACAATGGCTCTGACAGGCCCATGGGTCCTCTCCCTGGCTCCATAGGGCCTGGCCATACTCTAACCTCCAACCACACAGAGAGGGAAGTTATTTTATTTTTGAGTCTCCTCCCCAAGGTCTCAATGAGGTCCTGACTTACCCTGACTGTGCCTGCAACCCACAACACCACATCCAGAGTCAGGGAGGGTGACACTGTCTGGCTAGCTGGAAGCAAGGAGCTTCTGGATGTACTTGGGGCTTTCAGGGCAAAAACTGGACAGCTGGTCACCAATGGCCAGGCAAGAGTTTACTACACCAGCTTTGCTTCTGTGGCTTAGATTTTCACCATTTCCTTATCTTTTGGGCACCTCACTCAGGATGTTTCATTTGCAAATAAGAACATTTAAGTAAAAAAAAAAAAAATTAGTCCACATAAAGAAAAATATTGAGTTTTTAAAAAGTAAACAGTGGTAATAAGAGAAAAAGGGGAGGAAAAGAAGGGAGGGTTACATGCTAGAGCCCTGACTATTGGGTATTTTTCTAAGGAGTTTATGTTTATTAACTGGTGTCAGTTTATTACCCTTGTTCAGAGGTAACATGGGGCAAAAGCACCTGATAGTAGTATCATCGTTGCTATTATTCATCAGTCCCTTGCAGACACCTCAAGAGTAGGGGGTTTACCGCAGAGCCAGACACAGCTATGCTCCCCACCCCCTGGGTCATGGGGGTCAGGAAGCTAAACCTGGGCTCTGGTAGCCTGGCCATCTAGCTGGGGTCAAGGTCAAGGGTCAGGGGCTAGGTACCTTAGTCACAGCCACGGCACTAGCATGGCCGCATAATTCCACCAGCTGCTGCCGCCCAAAACGATAATCCTCCAGCAGCTCCCGTTCCAGGGCAGCCGCCTCCTCCGTGCTGGGGGACAGAGTTGGGAGAGACGCTCAGAGACAGATAGAGATAGAAGCTCAGATGGAGTCAGAAATGTTCCACCAATGTTCTGAACCAGTCTCTGATACCACCCCTCAATCAGTTTCCCCAACCAAAGCACAAGCGGTTGAATGGAACCTGGCAGGCAGGGGGAGGTTTGAGCAGAAGCCTGAGGTGCGGGCGCCCTCTGGTGGTCGAGGATGCACGTGGTGACGCCTGTTGATTGTGTTCTTCCAAAGCGTGGGAAACTGTGCCCAACCCAGAGGCCCCCAGCCCGCAAGGCAGGAGGAACCCAGAAGGACGAATGGAGCATGAAGGACTTTGATGGAGGTGATGGGTGGATTTTAGGCAGAGGAAACCACTGATTGAGCTACAGGACACTGGAGGGGGCTGACTGGACTGGGGGTATCTGGGGAAGGTATATGAAGGCTACAAAGGCATTTGATAGCTCACTTAGGGAGGTAGATGTGACCCCTCTTCAAAGACTGGTAAAATTCAAATAATTGTGCCTAGAGAGATGAGGCCAACTTGCTTGAGATGAAGCTCTGCTATGGAGTCAACTCACTGGAGTGACTGGGGTCTGTTTCATCTTTCCGAGCCTTGCTTCTTCCTTTGCAAAAGTGAAGGCAGGATGGGCTAGATGAATTTTGAGGGCCAATTCAAAATGCAAATGTGGGGCCCTTGTTTAAAAATTAAGAATTTTAAGATGGTGATGGCAGGGACCAAGCTGGCTGGCCCCGGCTTAGGGGCCTTCCAAAGGGCCTGGGCTTGGTGGCTGCAGAGAAGTAGATCTGGCTTTGAAGATTGGAACGTGTTCCTTACTCCAGAATCACGGGTTGGGCAGCTGGCAGGATACCTTCCTGCTGGGGAGCAGCACCTACCCCCAGCTCAGCAGACCCTAGAGAGGGTAATAATAATATTAACAATAACAGAATAAGGCCCAGAGAGTTGGAAGAACATCCAACAACTCAGAGAAGCTAAGTGGCTTGCCCTGGGTCACGCAAAAAGAGAGTGGGAAAACAGAGACTTCCACCCTTGGTCTTCAGAGCCACAAACAGAGTGTGAACAAAGGAGCAGCAGCAGGTCTACAGATGGCAGAGGTTTGGGATGAATCCTAGATTCCCTCCTTGATTCTGTAAGCAGGAAACTACAACCTTCCAGCCAATTTTACAGTGTGATTAGGCCAAGCAGCAGGAGGGACAGAGTAGGGAATGAGGACTGCTGTGGATGGGGATGGGGAGTCAGGGAAGGCTTCCTGGAGGAGCTGGCCTGGATCACTATGGGAGGTGATCTAGGTGGTGAGAACAGCAAGGGCCAAGGCCTCATGGTGAGAGTGAGCTTGGCAGGTTCAAGGGACAGAAGAAAGGCCACTGTGGCTGGCGCAGTGAGAGAAACTGAGAACACTTTGGGGGCTCACACAGATGGGGGAGATGAAGGTTGAGGGCAGGGAGGTCACATGCCCTGAGACCCCAGCAAGCAGAGCCAGATTCAACCCCTAGCTTGCCTTCAGCTAATATCAGATGAGGATGAAGTACCAGGTGGAAAAAGGAGCTTACAGTGGGGCCAAATAAGGCACCCCCATCCCTCC